AACCTTTCTTAAGCTACACGCCATTCTACTCTGCCTCAGCAGACATTTTCCATGACTCCCAATAAGAAAGAAGCCAGTTTCCTGAGTGCAAACTATGTCCTAAGGTCATATATTATCTCACCATATCCTCATATAAACCGAAGGAAGCATTTGTATCCCTCTCTCTCTTTCTCTCTTTAACAAAGAAAATGAAAATCGTAGTGGTGAATTATCCTAGCAGTAAAAATGTGAAAGTGTGATTCAAACTCAGGCCCACCTGCCTCCAGGGCCAGGGCCCGTCCCAAACAGTAAGCTTGGATTGGGCCCAAGCAAAGGCCAGAACCAGATGGAATGTGGATCTCTATTCCCAGGGCAGTAAGGCTCATTCTAGAGGATGTTTGGCTGAACAAGAGAAAATACTGGCGCTTCCTCCAGGAAACCCAGAACTAATCAGTTGTTTGTGTGGTGCTGGGGATCAAACCCAGGACTCTGTGCCCACTAGCTAAACACTGTACCCCTGAGCTGCTTCATCCCCAGCTCTCAGTTATTATTATTAATAATTAGGTAGATAGATAATCTCTTCTGTTCGTGGCACGGCATGCAACTTTCCCTGTGCCTTCTCCAAGAAGCTCTCCATCTCAGACACTGTTGTTTCCTTGTACAGAGACTCCATTACAGAGTGTGTCATCTCTTCCACAAGGAGTCCAAGGCCAGGGCTTTCCCTTTAGCTGGAGGAGGGTGCACTATCTTCCTTTGTGCCCTCTTAAAATCATGTTTTGCTGTTGCTCCTCTTGCTGCTACCAAGAATGAAACTGTGACTCTCACAGCTTCTGGATTCAAGGAAAAGGGCCAGCCCGGGAGAGGAAAAGTGAGAAGCAGCAATCCAACAGGCCGAGGCGGGGCATGCGGAGGAAGATATAGGAGAAGCAAACAGGTCAGATCAGGCAGGTCTACCCAGAAGCCCAGAGAAGAATAATTACTTCTTTTGGCTCATTCTTTTCCTTGCCTTCTTCTGTCCTGAGCAGCAGATGTCCCTAGCAGATATGTGAGGAGCCCAGTCTGGGCTCAGCTGGCAATGGAGGAAGATAAGGAGGATTCGAGGCATGCTGGGAGGCAAAAGTGCTGGCTGCAGATGGGGGGGTGACATAGGAGTCAGTGTCTTGAGGACAGGAGGCAGCCCACGGGGAAGGAGGGGGAGTTAAGGGCCTCGGAGTGTCAGGACGCTGCCACATCAGCGAAGAGACCAGTCATGGCTACCCAAGATGGAAACGAGGTTTCCGGGCCCACATCACCTTCCACACCGTCTGCCATCACCCCATTGTGGCAACTTGCTAACAGCTGTTCTTAACATCTCTCCCCCCGGGGCAGTGAATTGTCTTGATCAATCCCTCTGCTTCCAATGACTAACTCAGGGCAAATAGGTTGCTTCAGCAGAGAAAGGGAGAGGGAGAGGGAGAGGGAGAGGGAGAGGGAGAGGGGGAGGGAGAGAGGGGTGCCATTTTCTGCTTCTGGAAAAGAAATAGCCAGGGGCCCCCTGGAATAGGGTAGAGTTGGGTAAGTCTTCTCCATGTGTCATGGGATGTGAGCTCACTCTCACTCTCCTTATGCTGGGTGGGAGCTGGACAGTTGCTTGGACTGAAATAATGTGGCCTTTGATGTCATTCATGAAGCACTGAAAGAGTCTTCCCCCTATGCATGCATTCCCAGCCCCTAAATAGGGCAACCCAAGGGCACAGCATGGGCCCTGTATGCCCTGGAAGGTTGGGGTTTCACACACACACACACACACACACACACACACACACCTGGCTTTTGTTTTTGGTCAAATGCTCACACACACTGTCTTCTTAAAGTTCTCATGTTATGAATCAGAGGGCGGGAGGAAGATCAGGCAGATATTAAGCCTCTGGAAAGCCACACAACCCATGTGACTTCCTTGAGCAAGGCCTGCTGCTCTGGCACTGATGGTCACAGGCTGGGCAGAGGGGGAGGCAGATTCTTCCCGTGTGAGGTCGGCCGTGGAGCACAAAGGACATCCATGTCCACATGAAAATGCTGTTAGATCTCATGGAGGGACAGAGGGAGGGCACTCTGTCTGCCACAGAAAATGGCAGCCGATGCCCTCTGAGGGGAGACAATGTGAGACCCAGGGTTGTGATCAAGGAAGAGGAAGGGTATGAAGAAAGGTGAGCTTCCCAGAGGCTAGAAAACCATTGTGAGTCTTCCATCTGTCTTCCCAAACTGAGCCCCAGGAGCATGGCAAAGTTAGTACAGTAAATAGAGCAGCTAGGAGTGTGGGGGAGGGGCCTTTGGGAGAACTGTGAGGAATCAGGATCCTTCTCAAAATTAGCTCCAGAAATAAATGTTCTGAACTTCACACCATTTTACTACATCTTCTTTGATCAGGTTGTAATGAAGAGAGCTTAAATAAATGACATCTGTCAAGCATTAAAAAGAAACACAACACAATTCAATTTTATTTTTACACACAAATACACATTAACAGGAAAATGTTAGTAGTTATCTTCAGGCAATGAGATGTACTGGTCATTCAATCCTTCAACTAATACAGATAGAGCCCTCCATGTACGTAATAGGTTTTGATAGGTTTTAGCTACATAGTGGAAAACATACCAGGTACAGCCCTAATTTTACATAGCTCATTTTCCAATGGGTGAGACGGGCGAAAAACAAGAGAACAACACATAAAATAACTGTAGAGCTCTGTTGGTGAAGTGAAGCAAAGCAGAAGCTAACCCTTCAGGGCAGTCTGAGAAGGCGCTCAGGCAGACCCTAACATTCATCTCAAAGGCCCACTGGAGCCAGGTCCTGGCGGAGGACCAGACCGGAAGAGACAAGAAGGTATTTGCCCGACAGTAGAACTCTAGATTTGTCCCCAGAACTGAAGCCTTTCACTGAAATAGGAGACACCTACCAAGGAGAGAATAGCATGCACCAGGGCCCTGCAAAAGGGAGGAGTCGGGGATCCTGGGGCCTTTTAGAACCTGCATGTGAGTCTGGACTTTATTCCATCAGCGTCATGGAGGGACATGCTCAAGTCACCACTCAGAAAGATTTCTTAAACCATTTTTAAAGAAGAGTTTGGAGAAGGCAACAGGTAATTTGATTCTGATCATTGCACTTATATGCACATCCAAAAATCACACTATAGGAAGTGTTATATAAAGACATACTCACATATATATATCGCCTCCACGCAATTCTGTTTGGAGATAGTGACACAGGCTCTGGGGATTTTGTGAGCAAGCCTTTTTTTGGAAACTTCTGTAAACACAGCCTTGAGGGACTGGGAAACCCCTGGGATGTAGCAGGAAATGAGGCAGAAACGTTCTACTTGCTTTAAGATGATCTAAAGCCAGACCATTCTCAAGGTAGAGTTTATTTTCCCCTAAGAATAGTTATGTTCTGAGAGAGGATGGGCTCTTGGCCCAAAAGTGTCCCATCTCTTGTAAAGGAATAATTTCATACAACAGACCATGGCCAAGATATCCCAGGAAATACTTAATTCCCTACTTCATAACCTTGAAAGTGAAGTTCTAAGTGCAAAAATGAGAATAAACCCATGCTACTGGTAGACACATTGAGATTCAGAGACGTTTGGCTGAAGTCACAAAACAGCAGGCTGTCTTCCTCACCTCCCTCACCTCCTTGTGCCCCGGTCAGAGGGCATCACAGGAGTAGCTGAGCCCTCAAAATCCTCTGGCCGATAGGAGCTGGGAAAAAGGGCCCCTGAGGGCCTCCATGCTCAAAACGGCCACCATGAGTCAGAGGGGACTGACCAGCTGGAGTGGCCAAACCAGTCCCTCACCTCCAACCTGAATGGGAGGCTAGGTGTGACAGTATAAAGGTGCACAGGCATCTGCTCGGCTCGCACTGCAGTGGAAGCCTCTGCCTCTGTCTCTCCCGAGAGCTTGGTACGTATCAGCTGGAGGGACTGGGGCTGGGAAAGGAAGCTTCCTTCCTACGGGCCAGGATGTGCCCTGGGTGGCCAGGCTGGGGGCCGGAGGGGTGAGTATTGCCTCGGGACTGGATTCAGCTGGATTATCTTTTCTTCTGGTGACACATGGAAAGCCATGAAGACAGTAGTCTTCTCATGTACCATCCTTTCTTGGAGCCATATTTTGGGATTCATGTGTGCACGAGAGAAGTCAGGTAGAGGGGGAAGGAACAGAAATCAAGATGTCTCTTAACACTCTGACCCAGACTGAGCTTGATTTTGTTTTTGTATGGTATGAGTGGGTTCTAGAAAGTGCTTATAAGTGTGGATTGTGTTATGTGGAGAGGGGATCACATAATGGGGAGGACTTTTAAGTGGAGAAGCTCAAGCAGAACCGAGGCAAGAGTACCCAACTTAGAAGTACAAGTCTTACTTCAATAAGCTCCAACTTTCAGCAGCCTGCCAGTTCCCCTTGCTTTCTACCCCAAGCTCTGGGGCTGCAGCTGAAGTTCAGAAGCTGGGGAAAGGAAAGAGCTCTGGTGTTGATAGGCCAAACTGCTAATTCCACAGAGAAGAAATCCGAGGCCTGGAAGGGCTAAATGACTTGCCCAGAAACACACAGTGTTTTAGTCAGAGACTTAAGGTCTGGAATATGTCGGCAACTCCTGCTCAGACCTGATGCTGTGCCCTCTCAGGTTCCTTCCAGGACAGGTTATTGGTTTTCTAGGACTCAGGGCCTCTGGCTTTGCTTCTTCCTGATCCCTCCTTAGTGTGTGCAGATCAGGAAAAAGGGCACAGACACAGACTAGACAAGAGCAGATTAAACAGCACTGTGTCACCCTTGCAAAAAAACCAGGGAGAGATCTTTTGGGTGGTGCTTTCCTGGGAACAAGGGGACTCCCAGGAGGGCCTTTCCCTGTCCCTCCCCATGCCCAATCTTTACTCTCTGCCGCTTCTGCTGAGAAACCAGGTACTGCTGCACACTTCAGGGGTTCGATTCACTTCATTTGCCTTCAGCTTCTGACCCTCCTGCTTTTAATGCTGACCCACAGCAGCTACGGAGATGTCCCAGCAGCACACACCGCCAGTGCCTGTACCTTCTGCTGTCAATCAGGAGTTCCTCAAGGCTGTTTCTCCTCCAGCCAGCACCCATCAGGAGCAAATGAAGCAGCCAGATGCACTGCCTGGCCTGTGCCAGAAGAGAGATCTCTGCAAACCTGAGGAGAAACACAGGACCCCTGAAAGGGGGCTGTCTGAGCAAGAGTGTGAGCTGGAGCCACACCTGGGGCAGCAGCAGGAGCCCCAGGAGCCAGAGAACCAGGATCTGCACTTGGTACAGCAGCAGCAGGGACCTCAGAAACAAGAGCTGCATCTGAGACAGCGGCAGCACCCACAGAAGCTACCAGAGCCTGAGCTGCACCTGGGGCAGAAGAAGCAACAGGAGCCACAGGAGCCAGAGCCGCACCTGGGACGGCAGCAGAAGCCCCAGGAGCCAGAACTGCATCTAGGAAAACAGCAACAGAAGCCACAGGAGCCAGAGCTACATCTGGGACAGAAGGAGCAACAGGAGCCCCAGGACCCAGAACTGCACCTGGGACGGCAGCGGAAGCCCCAGGAGCCAGAGAACCAGGATCTGCACTTGGTACAGCAGCAGCAGGGACCTCAGAAACAAGAGCTGCATCTGAGACAGCGGCAGCACCCACAGAAGCTACCAGAGCCTGAGCTGCACCTGGGAAAGGGGCGGGAGCCACTGGAGCCGGAGCAGCCCCCAGAGCAGCAGGAGGAGCCGCAAGAGCCAGAACTGCACCTGGGACGGCAGCGGAAGCCCCAGGAGCCAGAGAACCAGGATCTGCACTGGGTACAGCAGCAGCAGGGACCTCAGAAACAAGAGCTGCATCTGAGACAGCGGCAGCACGCACAGAAGCTGCCAGAGCCTGAGCTGCACCTGGGAAAGGGGCGGGCGCCACTGGAGCCGGAGCAGCCCCCAGAGCAGCAGGAGGAGCCGCAAGAGCCAGAACTGCACCTGGGACGGCAGCGGAAGCCCCAGGAGCCAGAGAACCAGGATCTGCACTGGGTACAGCAGCAGCAGGGACCTCAGAAACAAGAGCTGCATCTGAGACAGCGGCAGCACGCACAGAAGCTGCCAGAGCCTGAGCTGCACCTGGGAAAGGGGCGGGCGCCACTGGAGCCGGAGCAGCCCCCAGAGCAGCAGGAGGAGCCGCAAGAGCCAGAACTGCACCTGGGACGGCAGCGGAAGCCCCAGGAGCCAGAGAACCAGGATCTGCACTGGGTACAGCAGCAGCAGGGACCTCAGAAACAAGAGCTGCATCTGAGACAGCGGCAGCACGCACAGAAGCTGCCAGAGCCTGAGCTGCACCTGGGAAAGGGGCGGGCGCCACTGGAGCCGGAGCAGCCCCCAGAGCAGCAGGAGGAGCCGCAAGAGCCAGAACTGCACCTGGGAAAGGGGCGGGCGCCACTGGAGCCGGAGCAGCCCCCAGAGCAGCAGGAGAAGCCGCAAGAGCCAGAGCTGCACCTGGGAAAGGGGCGGGAGCCACTGGAGCCAGAGCAGCCCCCAGAGCAGCAGGAGAAGCCGCAAGAACCAGAGCTGCACCCACGACAACGGGAGAAGCCCCAGGAGGTCCCAAAGCAGAAACTAGACTTAGGACAGCAGCAGCAACAGAAGTCACAGGAGCCGGAGCTGCACCTAAGACAGCAGCAGAATCAGCAGCAGGAAGAAAATCAGGAAGCGGAAAACCTGCAGCAGCAGCCCAAGCAAGAGAAAGTACAAAGGGAAGAGCAACTGAAGGAGCAAATGGCACAAGAGAAGAGGCCCTTGGACCAGCAACTGGATGAAGAGCTGGTAAACAGAGATGAACAACTCAGAAAGAATGAGCAGCTTCTGGAGCACCTGGAGCATCAGAAGGATCTGCAACAGGCTGTGCCTGCCTCAACCTTTGGGCAGGCGGAAGAGACTGAGCCAGTGACTGGGGGGTGTTTTGCTCCCCACCGGGAAACAGCAGTGGAAGCAAGAGATGCAGTGACTCCCCCAAATTAAGTAACAACCCTAGTATCCCTCAGACCATCCCACACAATGAAAGAGAGGTGCTGGCCCAGCTTTCCCCTGCATGTCCCTCTCATCTGTGAAGCCGCCTGACCCTGGCCCTCCACATGTCTCTCTGATGGTGCCAGGAAAAGGATGTTATGGCCCAACACCCACGCCAGAGGAGCCCAATCTCAACCCTAGGTGTCAGAGCCTCTGCCTGAGACTTTTGTTACTATAGCAACTCTGGCTTCCCCCTGGTATTGTGGCTGAATCTGTGAATGTGTACAATAATACGTAATAAACCTTGGACATTTGGGGATTCCTTATTTTGGCCTTTTCTCCTTTGTCTCTCAGGGTAATGGCTACAGCTGACTTCCTTGATTGATTATCCAAGGAGGATAAACATCTTGACCTTTCTTTTTACTCCCCAAATAAGTCAATATATGCAACAACTTCTGAAAAAGAGACCAAATCTAAATAAATTTTTAAAAAATAAATAAATTCACATATGCACCCAAAAGTAACACTTTCCAGCCATGAAGAGAGGAAAGGTTATTCTGGTCAGGGATATTTAAATGCATCTTAATCTGACAGTGTTTTAAATAACCAATATAGATACAAATCCCAGCCCATAGCAGAGCCCAGACCCACACTTCACATCGTAATTCAACTCCTCACATGTGAGAGGATCTTGGGAGGATGCCAGAGAGTTCAGAGGGCTTTGAAATCATTCCCATGGTCTCCTTCCAGAGGTTTCACTATAAACTGTTTCCATGAGTTTTAAGGCTTTAGCTGATGAAGACTTTAGAAAAGCAACAGAAGCAGAATTGGACAAAGTGAGGAGAGGAGGCACTCTAGGACTGGTCTGGGTTGGAAAAGTGACAACATCATCAAGGGAAGTAAATGTTGGGCCAACAAGGACTATGGAAACCGAAAATGCTGAGCAGGCTGCAGAAATAGAGATCTACAGATTGGGAGTGATTGCAGCTGTTCTCCTCCTTCTGTACAGCTCCTTGATATTTTCACAGCTCAGCTGCCACCAGTCACATTCAGATTTAGAGCTCTCTCCTTTCTGGGACAAGCCTTGTTTTTAACTCTCCAAATTGTTTGCCTTTAAACCATCTAGCAATCTAGCCATGTCACCGTGTTCTCACGATGTCCATGTATGGTGTTCTCAATTTACTCAGAGCTATTTTACCACAGGCAGGAAGGTACATCAGGGACACATCTATTAAAGTATCCATAGACACTCAAATTTAATAGATCTGAGTGACATTTAGAATTCCTTGCTACCCACCCAACCCCAAGCAATGCACACTACATTTTTCTCTTCTGAGTAATGATACCAGCATTAATTTTACGCTTTCCTTATCAATACCTCCTAACCTCAGGCTGAGATTATTTCTCCCCTGAATTATTGCAATAGGCTTCAAGCTGGTCTCTCTTGCTCTCCATCTCTACACACCCTGTGGTCCACCCACCACAAGGTGTTCTTAAAATTCCTGTTGAGCTACATCACTCCTTGGATTAGCCCTCATGGTGGTTATCATGACTTATATCATGAGAAAGTAGGCTCATTCCTAACAGTAAGCTTGGGTAGTACTGGGTCAGGAAGACAGGGGTCAGGGGAAGCAATAATTAGGAGTACACAGAGTTTCTACAAACTTTGTTTGAAGACTTAGTTAATTGTTATTTTGATGGATTCTACTTCTTAGAATAGTTTTGGATTTCTAGAAAAGTTGAGAAGATAGTACAGAGAATTCCCATGTACTGCATGCCCAGTTTCCCCTATTGTTAGCAGGGAACATTAGCACGGTACCTTTGTTATAACTAACAAAACAGTGCTGACATGTTATTAACTAAAGTTCATGGCTTGTTCAGAACTCTGTAGGGTTGTTTTTTGTTTTGTTTGTACTGGGGATTGAACTCATGACCTTGGGCTTGCAAGGCAGGTGTGGTGCCACTGAGCAAAATCCCTGGCCCTGGAATGCTTTGGTTTTACCTAATGTCATAATGTTATCTCATCTAGGGTGTCACAATGTGCTTAGTTGTCATTTCTCCAGAAGCTTCTTGACTGTGACAGCTTTACAGAGTTTACAGAGTTGTTTTTGATGACCTGGACAGTTTTGAGGGCTACCAATTTGAAATGTTGTAGGATATCCCTCAACTACTTTTTCTGATTTTTTTTTCATAGACTAGAGCATTGCTTTTTAGGAAGAGGAGTAAAGTACTATTTTCACCATCCCACTGGCTGAGACTGTGAAGAGGTCCTAAGTGAGGCAGAGACCTTATAAAATAACACTTCTCTACCTCAAGAGTTTACTCCACCTTGTGGTTCTGGCCATTGGTTCAAGTCCACGGAGTTGGCTCTGGTCCTGCTAACAGAGAAGATTATCTGATGACAGATCTGTAGCATCTAAATAATATATCCTTGCATGGGATGGGAGAGCTTACCTAGGAGAGGATCTTGAGAGGCATTAGGCCAGGAGATGTGGGATAATGATTTTGAGGATATTTGTTGATTTGGGGATGGATATGGGAGCAAGATATATGACTCAGTTCCCTTTAGGCAGTTCTAATATGTTTCTAGGGTATGTTTCAGAATATAGAAAAAGTTATCATGTCCATCAAAGAATGTGGAAATGCCACAACCAGCTTGGCAGAATATTGAGAAAAAGATTTAGAAGTCTGAATGGCATATTTGCCCCTATTATATATTATCTAACTGAAACGCTTATCTGTTATATAACTCTGAAGTGCTCCATGTAAGCATGCTCTTCGGAAAGCCCAAATGTCACTCCTTTGCTTAAATCACAGGAAATGTAACCTCCTGATGGAGAGTGGGCAGCATTATTACTGAGAAGCCAAACGGTGGTTATCCTCCACGGCCTGTGAGTGAATTAGGAAACGTTTATGGAATTGGGTTCTTAGTGTTAATGAGGATGATAGGACTTGACAATAGCAGAGTATGAGTGGTGCTAGGCAACCATCAGAGGCAAGGTAGATATGACACCAGGATAGGCCACAAGACTGGGATGTCAGAATGGCCACCAGCAATATAGAGCAATATAGAGCAGTGGATAATGGCAAATAGAATTCTTAGATACAAGACAGACAGATGTGTATTTCTTTCCTGTATATGCTGAATGTCAGCCACCTTAAGGGTTGTGTGTCACTCTACCCACAATTCCAAGCAGTTCATCATGAAGCGACACATCTATTGCTTGGAGGAGGTTGTCGAAACCCAGTGCTAGACAGATTTCTCACGGTCCCCACCCCGGGGCCAGTTGGTATCTGTTGATGGAACCGCTGGAACTGTATCAGCCGGGTGGCCAAGGGACCCCTGCCACCACTCTTCTCCCAATATTAGGTGGCAAAAAAGAGAGGGAAATGCCATCTGCTAGAAAGCGGGACATGAGGGCCACCACAGGACATCTCCTGGAACCACCACAGTGAGACGCAGCACCAGGAAGAAAACAAAACTCAGGTATCATCATCATCAGCATCAGGTAGAGACCCACACTCCATTGTGATAGACTCAAGGTTTGGCCTGCATCATTGTCAACTTTTCATGGGCCTAGGGCTCACTGTCTTTCAGCTGCTTGGGTTCCTATGGCTGTGAGGCTCAGGTGCAATCCAGCTTATCTGCAGCCTTGCCAACCAAGGACTATCTCCATAACGCATCTTCTAGCCTTGACCAGCACAGCTATTGCAGGTCATACCCACAGGTGAAGCCACTATACCTGCTCTTGCACAGGCGGTTACCTGAGAGGAAACCATGTTTCAGCCTGCATCTCACCTCCAGATCCAGTGCAGACCATGAGGCTACCCCTGAGCCTGTGTTGGTCCTTGAAGTTTGAGACTCAAGTGTGACCCAGCTTAGCATTAGCAGCCATGGGTCTGACTTCACCACCAGCAGCATCAATGGACCATGACTCCATTTGGTGAGGGAAGGACAGGATAATAAACACAGTATTTTGCTTCAGAACTCAGGGCCACATTTTTTAAACCAAACGCTGGGCGAATCCCAATGACCACTATCTCTAGGCCTACCTGAAGACAAAGCCTCTGGAGCGACCCAGATGCCGGTCCAGGTCTAGTCCATCGAGCTTCACCTGTGACTGCTTGTAGCCCTCTTAGGCTATGCACCTACCTCAGCAAAAGGCAACACAGAACAGCATATGCCTTGGTTCTACCCAGGGCTGCACTGATCTCTGGAAGCCATTATGCTCAGAGTGCTGTACAAGGTCGCAGTACAAGGTCGCAGTGCTGGTGGCCACCACTCTGAGGTAGGTCCGGGCTAAGTACTCCCTCAGTTCACCAACTACAAATTTGGGACAAACCTGGGCTTGGATCACCCTTTGAGTAGACTATGGACAACAGACCAGCAGAAAACCTGGCTTAAGGCTACCATCTAGTGTTCAGATGGGGAAAGGACAATACGTGCAGAGAAAAACAGACTGCTTAGAATTTCTGGAGAGGCACAAAGCCATGTTATGAGTGGAATCAGCAGTAAGTATCAAATCTCGGGGACCCGTTGCCTCATTCAACCACAAAAATGAGACATCAAAATTGGCCAGATGATAACCAGTATGGACCAATTCTTGGATGGAGAATTCAAAACAGATATTTTAAGAAAATCAAGGAAACAATTCAACACTATCAGGAAAACTTAGCAGAGAGATACAACAATTAAAGAGAAGTCCTTGAGCTGAGAAACACACTAAGTAAACTTTAAAATGTGGTGGAAAATGTGAATAATGAAATAGATGAAGCAGAAGGGAAAATTGGCGAGCTTGAAGAAAGAAAGAAAAGAATTAAGAGGAGAAAAGAAAATTATGAGACTATGGAAAGACATTATAGAGAAATTATTCAAAATACTTCAGTCCAAGGGAGGCTTGGAAATGCTAAAGGAAAAAAAGTTATTTAAAGAGATAATAACGGAAAACTTCTCAGACCCAGAAAAGCATACCAATATACTGGTACAGGAAGGTCCAAGGTCACCAGTCATA